ACGTCTCCTGTTTCTCTGAGCACCAGTTGACCCTACACAGTTCCACAGATCTGTGTGTCCCTCTGTGCAGCTCACCATTCTGCTTTTACCCAGCACACACTGGTCATCAGGAAGGAACAAATGGCACTTTTTCGCTGCTGAGGGCTGTAGATCGAATTCACAGACTGCTTTGGAGTAAAATTTTTGCCTGGGCTCCATCTCAAAAGTGCAACAAACTCACATTGGCCCAAAGATCACCAAGAAGCTTCGTGGCACTCTCTGAAGGTTTTGTATTCTGTAGGCTTGGATTGTGAAGAGAGCCAATGCTGGCTTTTCTTTTCAAGATGTTTTAAAATCATGTGATGAGTTGTCAAAATGGCAAATTTCCATTTTCTTTGGCACTAATTTTATTCATGTTTCTAACCAAGAAAATGGTTGGAAATACTCTTTTTTTCTTTTTCCATCTTGTATGGTTGCCACTCCCTCAGACTCAAATGACTCAGACATTTTCTCTGTCTGCTTAACAATGATGATTTTGTGGTGAGAGCGCTGACACTGTTCTGCCCCTGGTAAGTTTTGTGCTGCCCAGAAATTACTAATTCCTTGTGTATGGTGCTGGACAATTGCACAGGGTTCTCAGCTGCATGTCCTGAAGATGTGCCTCAAAATAATATTACTTAAACATCCTTCTGAGCTCACATTAGATATCACAACATCTTTATTTTGTTGAGGGCTAAAAATGGAATTAAAAGCAAAGAACAGTAACTATGGGCAATTCCCCAACTCACTATTCTTTCATTTCCCTTACTTGCACATACCTGTTTGTCAGTATTTACTGCCCTTTGTCTTAGGAAAGTTCTGAATCTTCATCTATCCCTGATTTTAATAACATGAGTGTTTGAGTTCTCCAGGTGAGAGAGACTACAAAAGAATATCCTGGAAAATAATAATTAATAATCGGGAAACGTTATTGTTGCGTCTGATAGAGGCTAATCTGGTCTTGAACTGCTCCGGCCAACACAACATAATATTGAAATAAAATTCTGTGTGGCATATATAACTTCCTTTTTCCCAGGTTCTAAATTTGGTATACAACCACTTTATAACTTTATGCTATCATTTTAAAGGTTTCCTCATCTCAGAATTTCTCCTCAACACTTGAACCCTTTGTGTTCTCCTTTTTCTAACTCCCCTCACTTTTTCTCCATTCTTAGCCTGTGATGTCTGACGGTCCATCCTGTTTCTTCTGTCTTTCGAGTGTACACCCACATGAGCTCACTTTCGCTCAAATTCCAACACAAAATTCACAATTTCCTCTAGTCACGAGGGAATTATCATATAAACATTTGCTAAAAGGGCAAACTAGACAAAAGTGTAATCCAACCATATTTCATAACACTCTTCCACTCATTTGGTTTTATCAGCTCTTTGCTTGACTATTGCCCATGAAAGTAAAGACTGTTGATATCACAGGCCCTAAATAGCAGCTGCTTCGAAGGGCGCTTGGTACCTTAGGCCACCAGCACCTGCATCATGGTGGAGCATTTTGCATGAGTGCGTATCTTATGCCTCACTTCCTTTGGGTTCTGTTGAGGTCAGTATTTTTCAGCTATATGATTTCAACATCATGTTGCAACACTTAGATTTGGTATAGACCATTGCCTCGCACAGAGCCAGGAGTCCTGAAATACATATGGCATTCTTAAGCTTGGGCACCACAGCGCTTGCAGTGGTGCAGACGAAACATGGGAATGTGGGAAATGGGATGCAGACCATTTATGCCCATGTCCTGCAGACCAGTGGTGCCCACAGCACAGCATTTCCATACTCTGCCTCACTCTCACCTCATCTTCCAGCTGCTAAATCAACTAAGTTCAAGGAGGCTGCATTTCATTTTGCCTTCAGAGAAAACAGTGTTAAATAGCAAAGCAAGGAGAATTTAGGAGAAAGTGAGACAAGTGACAATTATCTCCTTTGTTCCTGCAGATTTGCTCTCAGAAATGCTGACACTGCCTGTCCATTTCTCCTCTCTGGGTGTGGGACATGCCTTGGTTAAGGACACTTTTGGTGCTGCATTTCCCAAAAACAGCCTCTGAGAAACATGTGGCAGAAGCATAGAAGCAGTACCGAGCACCCCATGCAGTGCCAGGGCCAGTCTTTGCTTGCAATATTGACTAAATGTATGAGGCAGGATGAAGACAATATCCAAAAGTCACAAAAAGCAATAAGTCAACCTCTTGTACCTCTTGTTTTCCATAGACATCCTTTTTTTTTTTTTTTTTTTTTTTTTTTTTTTTTTTTTTGTCCAGCACAAGAGCCCACAGGTGTGGCAGTACCTAGAACCATAGAGTTTGTTTATCCTGAGCTGTTTCCTTAAGGAAAGGTGAGAATTCAGGTTATTTTGCCTAGTGCACTGCCGTTGTGGTGCAGAACCAGAGCTGCAGTGATGACAGAGTAGGGCGGAGAGCAACACCTCTGCTGGCACCCCTCCAGTAATACCAGTCTCCAGCCTGCCTGGGGCACCCTATGCACTGTTTAATTGCTGATAAAACACAATAAGGATAGCCTAAGCCTTCACTGAATGAATGTGGTGAGTTAAACCCAAGCACGAGGTTGGAACAAGTTTGTCCACATGGCTGCAGAGGCTGCAAAGCCATGCAAAATGCAGCCCCAACACTGACTGTAATGCACAAGCATTCACTGATCCTTGTGGCTTCAGCGCTCAAAATCAGGAGTCAGCCCTGAGGGTTTTTATGGCTAATATGTTCCAAGAGAACTCTGGCAGAACAGAAGTAAGGCAATTTGGAGTCTTCAAAGAAATTGTGTATTAAGCAGGCATCTCAAATCATGGATAACCCATACTGGCGGTGGCAATGCCTTCCTTACATACTGTGACAGCACATTTGGTCAATAATTGCAACTTGGTAACTAACACTCCGATGTAAATTAAGCATCATTGTAACCCAGAGGGCATGATTCCACGTTTTTCCAAAAAATACCCCTTGAAAGAACGTCTCCAACCCAACTGTGCCTGTTTACAGCACAGAAAAGAAAAAAAGAAGAAAAAAAAGAGGTGAAAAAGACCACACAGGGAATAAAGATCTGCCTGTTTATTCATCACGTATTTTCTAGGGCTTTTTGCTCTTTAAATTTGTTCTAATATTATCAGAATTGATTTTTAGTCTCTGATCCCAGAGGAAATGTCTTCAGTGAAGCTCTCGGTGGATAACTGTAATGAAGAATCAGCTTGCAGAGCTGTTACTATGGTGCTCTTAAGTGTAGAGCTTCTAAAAAAAAATTAACTGATAAGAAAATTCTTATGCACTATATTTAGAATTATTTCACTTCCTAGCTTTTGTCATAAAATAATTTAACAATCGAAAGTCTACATGGAAACTGTTTATTTTTTATTGTTGCATGTATCATTTAAAACATGTTTTTGTTGGCTTTTAAGTAAATTCAGAGTTCAGCAGAAAGCTTGCTTACAAAATTCCCCCAAAGTAAAATGGGAAGCAAGAAACACACCATTCTGTTTCCTCGTTTTTTGTTTTTTGGTTGGTTTTTTTTTGGGTTGGTTTTTTTTTTTTTTTTTTTTGGCATTGTAAGAACTGAGTCCCTTAGATTCCACGAGAAAATATTTATGTACAAAGTGCTCTACTTGAATGTTTACCTTTATACTCTAGGAAGGCATTTCAACAGGGGTACTACTTTCTGACTCTCCTGGAAAAAGCCCAGGTCTATTTTTAGATGCCAGCATCCCAAACTGTGTACTGTATCACACAGGGCAATGCAAGCAAAAATGGCAAATTCAGCTTCCTATTATTTTTGAAAGAGAGCCAACACTGGCCCATTTCTGTAGGGGCTTAAAGACATGTATAATCACTGCCAAAATTGTTATGATGATTAGGGCAAAGCTTCATCCTACAAGCACCATTTACACCACCTGAAGACAAGCAAGTTCAAAATGGCATGCAATAACACCAGCACGCACAGATGCATTTCCAGAAATTTCTGTACTGTTATTACAAATCACTTCACACTAGCACATTCACTCAAGTCCTTTCCACTAAAAAAATAAAAAACCTCCTCACACTGCTCATAACAAATTACCTGCTGGTGCACAATTAATTTCCTGAAAGCCTGCATGGCGGTGTCCCCCCCACCCTGCCTCGGTGCTGCTCAGTACCCCAGGGCTGGGGGCTCATTGCACTGGAGGCCATCTGGTACCACTTCTAAATAAGGAAAATGCTCAGCAACAACACTTCCCTGGCATTGGCCACCTAGACTTGTCTGCGACCACTTGAAAGCTGGCAGCTTTGACAATTGGACTTCACTCTACAGATGCGTCCAAATCTCTGGCATGCTGAAACAGTCTCTGGGCAGCTCAAGAAAAGGAATAGAAATGAAACAGTATTTGGTAATCAAAAATAAGCTCGAAAACAAATTCTGCCACTTAAATGGCACTTTTTGCTGCTCTGCAGAAATTTCACCATCATTGGTGTCAGCGTGAGAGAAGGGCCAGTCATAACTGACAGTGAGATAAATAACAAAAAGGTTGTGCCCTCTGAAGAGGTTTTGTATTCTCAAAGTAATGCAGAAACACAAATTAACTAAACTTTGTAACATCCAAATTACGTGAGCCCAAGCTCACCTTTACTTATACACAAGCAAAGAAGAAGAGTAAAAAAAAAATTAAAAATTAATTTGCAGGAGCATCTTGTAAATTAACTCCTGAAAGGCATCCAGCCATGTGTTTAATGCAATGCTATTTGTCTCCTTGGCAGAGATCTAGAAAACAAGTAATGAAACATCTTGCATAAAATCCAGCTATCAATTTACTATATGATCATCACCATAAAGATTGTCATCTTACCATGAATTCTTTTTCAATACTGTCCATTCACTAACTTGTCTGTAAGGGTACTGGACTGCCATTCATCACTGTACAACTGTGCTATTAGTTGCAGTATCATCAAAAGGACTTTTGAAAAAATAGAGTTTAGTAAGTTTCAGCGTGGTACCATGAGTTGGGAGTGCTGATGCCTACTGTCAGTTTCCTTGCTGAACTCCAAGTATAGAGCAGTTATGTCATTTCACCTCTCTGTGTCCCAGTTTTCATATCTGGCAAAATAAAAAATAAAAATTATTTCATGGGGATGTCATAAAAATTAAAATTGTAATGTTATGGATGTTACTGAAATTTGCATGAAGCCTGAAAGTCAGATCCTTAACATGGGTTTTTCCTACATTACTCTTTTGCATTGTCTACACATTGCAAGGAGCCCAGCTGAGCAGACATCAAAGGTTCTCTGGGACTTTCGTGGGAACAGAGGAGGAAGACGTAAGAAGCTACAGCTTTATAAGAAAGATGAATCAAATATTTTTTTAGGTAAAATTTTTCCTTTTTCAAACGTACTGTTTTGCTTGTGAACACGAAGTATTCTCTGTGTCATGTACATATTGCCACTCATTCTCCTGCTAACTACGGAAAACCAACACACTGAGAACAAATTCTCAGCTCACCTATTTTTAAAAGTTCTTTCTAATTGATTCATCAAATAATATTTTCTCCATCAGAAGAAGCTTGTCTTGTTTCAAATTTCCTTCTGAAAAGTGCAAGAGGTTTTTTTTTTATCCCTGATTTTGAGGAGAACAGATTTTCTAAGTGCTGTTTTTGCATCAGCTCTGTTCTCCACAGCTGAGGAAGAGGCATCTTTTCTTTCCTCGTGCTCTCTCTCAGTTACTTCAGAGGTGAACATCAGATCTGTGATCATACTGATGAGCCATGGAACATCTCACCAGATTTCTCTTTGCTGAGGAAGAGCAATCCCAAAAAGGTGGTGAGACCCTGGCACAGATGCCCAGAGAAGCTGTGGTGCCCCATCCCTGGAGATGTGCAAGGCCAGGTTGGATGGGGCCCTGGGCAACCTGAGCTGGTAGAAGAGCCCTACTCACAGCAGGGGGTTGGAACTGGATGGGATTTGAGGTCACTTCCAACCAAAGCTGTTCTGTGATGCCTGTGATTCTAACGTGGCTTGTTCGCTTTACATCCAGCTTACTCCATGTGATCCAGATGGCTTTTAATCAAGTGCTATCACACAAACACAGAGGCTCACATTCTACTGCAAGGGGTGGCCCTCCACCCACAGCGTGCCCAGCTCCCGCAGCACCAGCCGAGGCAGAGGAGAGGCTCCCTGTTGTGTAAGGTCATTGTCTGCTTCCTCCCTTTGAAATACATCATTTTTAGAACCTCAGTTTTAAGCACACTCTATAAATCCAACAGCGAGTGTTACTGAAGTCTCAATTCTAAATAAATAGTTTAAAATAAAAGTTGCATAAATACCCATCCGTGCCAACAATACAGTTTGAAAGGGAGTGCTGTAAACACAAAGTAAATTAGATGGGATCCACTTTTGTGGGGAAAATGGCTACTTAAACCAGTTATTATAGAGAAGATGTTGTTGTGTGGTGCGACAGCACGTACCCATGTGGGTAACCGAGAACTGGTTGAAGAAACAAACCCCACCCGTACCTAGGAGCTGTGCCATGACCAGACCACAATTCCTGTGAGGCATAAATTTAATTTGCTGAAAATGAAGCACAGGCACTGTCGCAGCTCATTAGCCAGCAACAGACATATTGCAAGAGAAGAAAGTGGAATTTGGTTGGATGGTCCAAATTCTACATGTGCTGTGAATAAAACAGACTATTGTTTTTTGATAAAGGAGTATTGTTTTGAATGTGCCGGGTAACTAAGTAAAGCCAGCAGAATTTTTTGGCCAAATATAGTCTCTTGCTCACTGCTAAAAATCCTAGCTTTTAAATTAGGAGCTGAAGTCATTGAAAAAAAAGTTTACATTCCTGCAGCCGGCTGCAGCAAAGCCAAACAAATGTTTGGCTTAATATTCATCTCTTTCATGAGCCTTTCTTAAACATCTAAGTCAGAAAATACCATTTCTATTATTTAGTAATTTTATGCTCAAAGCACTGGTTTGGTTTTGTTCTTTTTTTTTTTTTTTTTTTTTTTTTTTTTTTTTTTTTAACAACTTTACCCGCCTGTTTCTTTTTTTCTAACTTGTTCAGAAAAGACCCAGTAGGGTCACTGCCATGGCATTAGGCTATGCAAAGCATTTCGTATCTTAAAGAAATAATGGTTTAAGTTTCTGGCACCAGCTCCAGTTATAGATCACAATTACTAGCAGTGTGTTGTTTCTTCCCTCCCTCTTTTTTTCTGTCACATCCCATACCTGAACAAAGCTGTTTAAAAAATGGGGGGAAAAAAATGAAATAGAGGAAAAGAATGTGTTGTTTTTCACAGCAGCAAGCTGCAGTTGTGATTCAGGTCCAGAAAACTATCAAAATTTAGGAGACCTGCCTGTAAGAAAAAAAACAAAAAAACACCAGCAAGAGCTGCTACATTTATCTAAAGCAAAGCTGCATGAGGAACACGCTGGAAAATTATTAGAACAAGCATAGTAATGCCTGGGAGACCAACTGACACATTATGTGAGATATTTTGTGCTCCATGCTGCTGTAGGTAAGGTCACCAGTGGATGCATGTAAGCACAACTGGGACAATGCAGAGGCTCAGGTGCCAGAAGCATGACCACCACACAGAGGAAGAAATTAACTAAAACTAGCCCACCATCCTCCTTCCTGGGCTTCTGGAAGTTGTATTAAGATGGTATTCAGGCCAGCATCCCAGTGCTGTAGGACTCTGTGAGTATGGAGGGTATGTTTGTTCAGGATCTCTGTTTTCCCTTTTTCTTAACCAGATGTAGAAGGTTTGAATTTCGAGCAGTCGGCATCTCGGAACACAGAACAGTGGATATTAGCATATTTGCTTTGAGACTTCTTAGCTGGACACACACTTGAAATAAGGAAGCCTACTGACTGAAGAGTGCAAAGCTGGGGTACAGCTGTAAGGATGAGCTTTGCCTTAACATGAGTTAACAAAATATGTACATTTGGCTCACCTTTCTTTCCTTTCCTCTTTATTTCCCTTTTTCTGGATGAAAGAAGTGGCATACAAAAAAAAATGTATGTTTGAAAATCTTACTTTAAAACCACACATTTTAAGATTATGTCTTAAAGCACCTTTTACATCAGACCTTGCTCCATGATGTCCTGTGATTGATTACCTCATTTGAGGTCTCAAATCTCCCTGTTTTTGTCCCTCAAAGTACTAACACTTATGTGCCTTTAAAGAAACTACTCTAATATATAAAGATAAGCATGTGCATAAAATGTTCCAAAATTACAGTTTTAAACAGACACCAAATCTAAGATATCTGGCAAACAGAGTAGTTCGATATCCTTTGGCTGTAGAAAATGCAACTTAGCTTTTTCTGCCTACTGTATTCACCTGTAGAATATGATTCATTTTAATGCTTATGACTTCCTTCTCTGATTCTTGAACAGTATGAGAAGTTTCTAACCACAACTTTGTCTCCTCAGATCCACAACAAGGTGGAAAAAAAAATTCCTTTCAATCATGACAACACTCAACTAAGAAAACAAAATTCTCAATTTATTGAATTATGTTAACTTTTATTTAATACCATAACAATCCTTTTCTAATCAGCATTGCCAGCACTTGCAATTTTATCACCAGTCACAGGATATTTGGTGGTTTCCATAAAATCTTCACTCTTTTCCTCAGACAATTAAATCCAGTATTTTTAACACTCAGACCTTTACAACTATTGGAAAAAAAAGTGTGAATCCTAAGTGAAAAAAACAGATGACAAGTGAAAAAAATGGTGACTGGATGGAATGAAACACTGATGTCTGGCTTTGACTTACATGTCATAGGGTTTCTCTATACATATCTTTTTCTTTCTTTTTTATTCAGAAGCTGATCTCACTGTTAAGGATCTGGATCACGATTTCTGAGAATCCAGGGATGGTGGTGCTGCTGATTTCATAGCATTCCACTGAGTTCCATGAATCTTTTCCTTTCTGCTGCTCCTTCCCTGATCACCCCAGCCCCACCACCCTCATCCCAGCTATGCCAGGAATGTCAGACCAAAGCCCGAATGAAAGGCACCAGCATCTTAGCAGCTAAAGCCCTCTCAGATTACAAGTAACATGGGGGTAACACCAAATGCTGTCTGTGCCACCCACGGCCACTGTCATCCATGTCAAACTTTCACTGACAACAGCTGATCTCCAACAAGCAGTGGAAAATGTTAACAATTTGGAAAAAAAAAAAAAAATTAAAAATCCACTGTTATAAAGAACAAATTAATAGTGACGTGGATCACTCATGTTGAGTTAATAGACTGCCTTGGTTCTTCAGTATGGTTGGAGAGTAGCCACTGCTATCCTAGCAAAACTGCTGTGTGCACTTTAAGAAAAGTAAGACTTCAGAAGGAAGTGCAATGGAAATTTCCAAAATATAGATGGCCTGTTTGGATAAAGACAGGTTTTTTATACTTAATTGCTAGGCCTGGGGAGCTCGGCAGCACCAGCCACTGACTCTGTCTGAGCACACTTGGACAGATGGACAGATGGAGGCTGGAGGGATCCCCTCTGAACAGGGGTGCTCCCTGCCCACAGCCTTGCTTTCCACTTTCTTCTTGTAGCAGAATATGAGGGGTGCTCAGGATACTGATGGGGAAGGATATTTCCATCAGCTTTGTGGTTAACACACTATGGTCTTCATTTTACAAGTCCCGGGTGAGGAATTATTCTATTGTCTTTTAATGCTACTGGAGGAAAAGACAATCACCAAAATCAACTTATATTCTATCCATTAATGATAAGCTGTATTAAATATTTAGATGCTCCATAAGTGTTATCTGAAAAAAAAAATTTCTGGGCTGTAAACAGGACTTGTCTGAAAGGTAATGCAGAGAGGACCATCATCCCTCAGCAGTTATGCATGGCAGCAGGCATACTAGTGAAGGCTGTGGTATATTTGCATGCACAGAAGGTTTCTCAACTACATTAAAATTAATTTTTATTTTTAAACAAGCTTGAGCTTTTTCATGTAGACACTAGGGTAGGTAGCACATTTCAACGTATGGCAATTCCAGGTTATCTAAAATTAGACCACTGCGCTCTGTTTTTAGCAATGGAGATATAATGGAGATAAATCTGAGGAAACCTCACTAACTTCAGAGTAGCTGCCTCAGATTTACGTGTGAATTAAAGATGCCATATTAGCCTCCGATTCACACTGCATGCTACTAAATATGAATCCTTGATTCTGAAAACAAGAGCTGCACTAACTCATATACAACTGGAAACGTCCACATTAATTCCATGTAACAGTCAGCAAGTGAGAGTTAATATTCCCAGGTAGAAATAGGTTGTGAGTGTTCTTCACCACCAGTCTGTTTTAATACCATCATGTGGATTGGGACAGCTGAAACAGCAATCATTCAGAATGTTTTTAAGCCATGATTTTTGGTTACCTCACTTATCACCATGTCAGAATATTTTCTCTAGCAAATTAAAACCTGGCTTTTTCCTTGTGTACTTTTTCAGTATTCCAAAGATTCATTCACAATGCCAAGTTGCAGTAAAATCCAGTGCAATGTAAATCACCCTCTGATATTGCTTTTCCTGTTTCTTTCTGGGTTGTGTTATAAATTCAATGAAAAAGAAATGATTTTGAACAGCATTGGTGGAGAAATTGGTATAATGGATAGAGTTTTAAAGTCAGATCATCTTGTTAATAGCTAAATAACGTATTTCCTAAGTTGGATTTTGGCTACACAAGTTTGAATGTTTGAACTTTTTTTTTTTTTTTTCATTTTAATAAGGAGTGCATTTTAAAGTGCTGAAACTGGGGATAAGGTAACATTATCCTCTTGGCACATTTAATAATATGTACTAATGCAGTCTGTACTTCCAACCCCTCTTTCTTGCCTACCATTAATGCTGCAAATTGATGTATTTTTCTGAACAGCAAACCCAAGCAGTAATGTGGTCATGGGAAACTGGAACAAATGACCACTTGCTCTGGAAAGCAACACACTGTGAGTTTGAAGTTCTTCTTGTTTACATAGTGGCTTGACTCTCAGCAACAGGTCATAGCCGCAGAAACAAGAGCTGCCTGAAATATCATGTAGGGCCTGTAAACCCAGGAATGTGCTGTGTGCTGCCAGCAGTGCCCTGTATGATCTCAAGCAGCCCGTCTTCCTGAGACCTGAAGGATTTCAGACATTTCTGACAAGACCCGCTGGGCTAAGGTGACTTTGACAGAAGTCAGACGGTTAAGTTAACAATGAAGCTTGTCTTCAGGCTTCTCAACTGCTCAGTATTGTAATGTCTGCAAGACAAAGATGTTGCTCGGTACAGAGAACAACCCTAAAAGTGCTCACAATGTAAATAAAAATTTAAAATGTATTCACTTTGTCTTGCTGGAATTTGGAAGGCAAGGGAAAAAAAAAAAAAAAAAAAACAGGAAAAAAAAAAAAAAAAGAGAGAGAAAACCTAAGTTGGACCATAAACAATACAAGATACTGGTCAATATTCTCTCTAAAATACAGAGGCAAAAGTCCATCGAGTTTTATTTAATGAGTTACAGCATGCACAAGTAGATAGGTTTGTTTTTTGTTCTTTTTTTTTTTCAGTAACTGACACAGTGGGAATGAGTATTTTCAGGGTGGTATTACATTATGTAGTTGAATTAAAATTCTCCTTTTTTTAGACTTCTTATGTGCCTTTCCTTCCTGTTCAGAAAGCAAAAGCACAAAAAGTAACACAGTATTGTCCTGAAGAACAATCCCCTATGAGAACTGCACTGCCAACACTGCATCACACAGGGCTGGGTAACCTTTAGGTGGCAAACATGAGCACCCCTACAGCTGCTCCCCAAAACCCCTACCAGAAACCTTCCCAATATCTGCAGTAACTGTTCTTGGCTGATTTGCAAAGCATTCTTGCTTGTCTTATGGTTGCTCCTAAGCATCTCAGTAGATCCATTTTGCTTAAGATAGATCTACCTTCTCAACTCACACATAACTCTGACTTGTTATGGTTAGCTATCAATTGGCATTTCCAAAAGCACCCATCTCCACCTACTCACCAAGTAGTCCAGGATAGCAGGGTACCTATTACACAAGCCAAACCAGTCAATCTGTTCAAGGGTGTGAAATTCTGAGCTGGCACTGAGTAGTAGCAAAGAATTATTCAGAAGCACTACAGTGTACACATTTTAAAATACATTTAACTTCTCAGTTCTTAAACTGCCTGTAAACTTTTTGAGTTGCAGAGGCTACACCAGGATGTAATTAAGTAACAAGGCTGCTGTCTATAATTATAATGATTCTTTTAAAGGTTCTCATTTATAGGTGTAAATGCTGTGGCCTTAAAACAACTGGCAACGGCGTGCATGGCTTGATTTCAAATTTCTGTACTTACATGAGCAGAGATCAGGAGAAACAAGGAATCCTGCCACTCTTTTTCTGCCAGATGAAGACTGTCCAACCTCATTTCCATAATAAAATCAAAAAGACACACTCAACAATTTTTCACACTTGGGATTACAAGAACAAACCAAATGCCACAGGCCAACCCTGAACATGCCCATCCTCCTTAGTAACACCACTGCTGGAAGCAGAGATCTTGATTTGCTGCAATTACTTTAGCTCTTTAGCTTATACTCATATTTGAAGAACTGGGCCATTGAGTTTTAGTTATTTGCTTTCCAAACTGTGTCTGATCCTTAAAAAAGAAAAAAAAAAAAAAAGAAGAAGGTTTAAGAAAGTGCTCTGAAATGGATAGCCCTACCTACCCCAAAGAGCTGATCATTCTGAATGAAAATCAATAGCATTTTCATGCAAAAAAATACAGGGTTTGTTGTTGATTCACATTCACTTTTTCCAGTCAAGTTCTACCTTAGATAGTTCAAGATTGAGATACTTTTTAGATTTAAAAGACAGGTTAAATTGTGCTCTTATTAACAAAATGCATTAAGCTACAGATTAATGAAACACTTCACTTTAGACCAGTAAAGCTTCCATTAAAACCAAAGAATATTTGTGTTGTAGAGCCATAAAATGTGCTCTTCAAACAGGATTCTTTCAAACCACACTTTAGTGAAATGCATGGATATACTTCCGTAGGCTTTAGTGAGCTCTATGGCAGGCACTAAGACAGTATGTGGATTGCATCTTCTTAAGAGATTCACAGGGGAAGAAAAAAAAGGCAGATTTACTATGTATGAAGATGTTATGAGAGGTCACTTATATTAAAAATATTAGTAAGTGGAAAGGCTCAATATAACACGTAATTTATTTTATCTTTTTATTGTTTATCTTATCCAAACCAGTAGTGTCCAGTTCTTCCTAGTTGCTGTCCCTTCAGTCTTCTGAAGATCTGAAATCCTAAGTGAGGGCACAAGACCTTGAATTGCCAAAAAAAAACAAATTTGTAGCATGCCAATTTTAACAACAAAATCATAGATTTCACACAATTCAAATAAAAATAATGGCCATTCTATTTAGTAGTACTTCATTTCTCTGCAAGGCAGGCATTTGAAGGTAGATAACTTAGGCTGCTCTACCGAACCTGTGGGCACTGTGACCCACTGTTTCTTGTGATGCTCTGCATTTAGATAATGAAGATGGAAGTAATAGCAACATTAAGGACAAAGTGCACCATGAGTTCACTTTCAGATTCCCAGCTGCCAAATAAATACAGAAGTATGAAAGGGCAGATAGGGCTTGATGCCTCAGAAAATGTTTGTTCCAATTTGCCATAGGTGGAGAAGAACATGGAGAAAAATACACATAATACCTCTTTCTGAGGTCACAAGAAAATGACTTAAGATTAGTGTTCAATCATAATCCTTCCAGTACTTATTATCTACTCACCTATTAACTCATAAAAACACTGTGCTGTTGTTTTTACTTCAGGGATCTGTAGAGCACTTTGCTGTTAAAGACTGATTTACACAGAACAGAAAAGCATCAAATCTATGTGCGTGCAAGGAAAAACTTGCTGTGTGACTACTGAGCTCAGCCAGCTCTGCTGCAGCAGAGAGGACTGGTGACAAATCAAGAGATTCACCACTAGTCAAGACACTCAGCTCTACATTTTCTTTAATCTTCATCAGCTGGAAGCAAGTTATATGACTTCTCTCTGATCCTAAATCAGCTGAATTCTGATTTGAATGTATTTTCCTGAAAGTATGCACTGGAGCCAAGATAATGTCATTATCTTCCACATAATCACTGCTATAAAGGTAAGTCCCCATTTCTGGAGCTAACGCCTGTTTTTTTTCCTTAACAATTCTGATATAGCAGGGTATAAGATGGTCTGAAAAATAACCTGACATGATGGGATGGTGGTCACACAAAAGTAGCTCTGTGCCACTGACACAGTTTGGGGACCAACTACAGCTACATTGGGAAGACTATGGAAGAGAAGACAAATTAACACTCCTGCTGTTTCATAGTCATCAAAACAGGGGCACTGAACATTTTTTTCCCAAACATGATAAAAGAATGTACAATCATATAATTGTTTGAGTTGGAAGAGAATCTTGAAGGTTACCTAGTCAAACTTCCCTTCAGTGAACAGGTCCACCTACAATAATATCAGATTGCTTAGCGCCTGTCCAGCCAGACTTTGAATGTATCCAAAGATAGCCTTTACTGAATCTCAAGAGGTTCTCTTGGGCCCTCCTGAAGTCTGTCTAGCCCTCTCTGAATTGCATCCCATTCCTCGGGTGTGTCGACCATACCACACAGCTTGGTGTCATTTGCAAACTTGCTGAGGGTGTCCACTGTCAATGTCATTGATGAAGGTATTGAAGAACATCGGTCCCAGTACTGATGTCTGAGGGACATGAAATATCATTGATCTCCATCTGGACACTAAGCCACTGACCATCAGTCTCTGGGTACAATCCTGCCACCATCAAAAAGTCCACACTTCAAATCCACATCATTCCAATTTGGAGAGAAGGATGTGGGGGATCATGCCAAAGGCCTTACTGAGGTCCAGATAGATGACAAGAGTGGCTCTTTCCTTGTTCAATCATGCAGTTACATCATCATAAAAAATGACAAGGTTGATCAGGCAGGATCTGTTGTTGGTGAAGCCAATATGGGTATTCTGGATTACCTCTCTCTCTTCCACGTGTCTTAACATAGCTTCCAGGAGGATCTGCTCCATGATCTTCCCCAGTACAAAGGTAAGGCTCACAAGTCGATAGTTTCCTGTGTCACCCTTTCTACCCTTCTTAAAAATGGGTGTCACATTACCTTTTTTCCAGTCATCAGGGACTTGCCCTTACTATCGTGATTTTTCAAATATCATTGAGAGTCGTTTGGCAACTACATCAGCCAATTCTTTCAGGACTTCGGGATGCATGTCATCAGGATCCACAGACTTATGGATGTTCAAATTCCTCAGATAGTCATGAAACTGATCTGTGCTTCACATTCCAAGTGTCACACCTCCTGCTGTTGGGCAGATAGACACGAACATCCCTGTGCAAAGCACAGAGCTACTTCGGCCCTCACAAACACAATGAAATGGACAGTCTTCTATGTTTGACTGTTTCACCACTATAGTTCCCCTCTTATCACTTCCATGATTCCACACTCTGCCCCGCACCCCATGAATATAGAGCATCTACCTCCCAGGAGACATTTAGCAGAAGGAAGCTAATTGAGATTCTAGAATGTTTTTTGATTGAGGGAATCATCTTCTTCTGAGTACAGTCCAAGTATTTGGGGAAGCTGGCACTGGCAAAGACTACTCATTGTATCACCTTGTGGAACCAGCCTAGAATTGCTTTGCCCATCTGGAGAATACCATGTGAAAAGAAGATACTTGAGGGAGAAAGATTCCAAAGTTCTTCCTGTGAAAATCTCCTGCCTATTTTAAGTATAATGAGGTTTCTGAGATGCCACAGAGCCAATTAATTAAGCAACTGTATAAATAAACATAGATACAACAATTGCACAAGTACACAAAGGCTCACAAACACACAAAACCTAGGTTTTTTCTAATTGGTAATTTACTAATTGGTTTCTAACAGAGACATCTTTGCTTGCTCACACAGCTCATCCCATGAAAGGCAGATATTCTGTTCAAGAACCAAAACACTGCTTTCCACAGTTAATAATTTGTACAAACCACAACTGTGTTATTTCAAGATTTGAATGAATCAAATAAGAGAAAAAAAATTTTCAACTTTACTCAAAAGTTGACACTTTTGAGTTTATAATAAATTTGGGGAAATGAGCCTCATATGCAGCTTCCTCTTTAAAACATGATGTAATTTTTGTAGCAATTACCTCATTACCAATTACCTTCTCTAACAGCACATAGAACTAATACTCATCCATTGTTTTGCAAAGACTATTTTCTCATACCCTATCAAACAATACCAGGCAAGCAGATCTGCTTTTTCACCTGTTCTTCAGGACCTTTTCTGAAAAACTACTGCATTTTCTTTCACATTGGAATATCCATTTAGCAGTTGATAAGTCTAACAATTTCCACTTTTCTAAAAAAAATTAAAAAAAAAAAAATTAAACAATCGTTATTAAGATTATATTGTTTAAATACATATGCATTTGTGAAACTGTCCCACAACAAATACCTTGGCACTTTTCTTTGTTTTTCTTAGATGAGTACCGCTGAATATAAACAACATGTACAAGAAGAAGATTTACAAACATGTACAGATTAAACTGTGTAGAATATCTGAGAGATAGTGCACATGTGATGAAAAATCAGAAGTTTGTTATTTGAAAGACAGTCATGCTGTAGAAAATCAGGTTGTATTTACCTCTACATTAGCTACATTGCTGCATATCTTTGTGCTTAGGGTGGGTAGAAGGGACAAAATAGTTGATTAATTTCAATCTTTACAGAATTTGCACTGCATAGTCTATGATTGTGAAGAAAATATTAAAATGTAGTTGAAAATACATTGTACAGCTCTGTGCTTATGATTAAACCTTAAAGTGCAGCAGTAATTGAAAAGTACATTACAGAGTTAATTATAGGAATCTTAAGCCATAGGTGAGAAGGGGTTCAGACAGCATATCCATAGCAAACCCACAGCATGACAGGAACACTGTCCAGTTAATGGGTCAATTGACAGCAAGAAGAAATCATCCTGGTCAGCGTCTGGATCCTTCTTGTCTGGCTCCTGCTTGTAACATGTTGCACAACTTAAGACATGACTCAACTAAATCAAACACTGATGGGTTAATTTCAGAATCTGAGATCTTGAAAGATTAGCAAGACTCCTTCACTTGCCAAATACAATCACAGCTGTTTTGAATATCCCTTACAACCTACTTTGATGTGACTAGAATTAAGATATCGTTTTACTATAGATCCTAAGACATTTTCTACAAAGCATTTTGTCACACTGCTTCCTATTGCCAGAAAATATTTAGTGCTACTTGAGCATGGTCAACTTGACACACTCAAACTTTCAGTAAAGATATTTGACAATAC